AATGATCTGGAGAAGGAAATAGCAAACCGCTCCTGTGTCTGCACCAAGAAAACCCCAAATGGGGTCATGAGGAGTGAATGAAATGACTGAACAGCAGCAAGCGCTACTTATCTATGCCATGCCTTATCATCCATTCCCCTTGACCGCTGAACGGCTCGTGGCCTTTTGCCGTAATGACTAAAGGCTTGTTTTGGATTTCTTCTTTATGTTTAATCTGTACACGTGCACATGTTGACTCCCCTGATAGAATGTTAACCACTTGAGGGAAGGCAGGTTTCATATTTGCCTTTTGGATCCCCTATACCTAGCACAGCGCCTGGTGCACAGTCAGCAGTTAATACATCCTTGCTGGCTGATGGCTTGAGGAAAGCAGTTAGATGGTCCTAGCCCTATGGCTACGGGGAGGAGGAAGACTACTCCAGCTTTGCCCTTTGGTTTTCCCAGAGGGAGTCTGGAGGCTGGCAGGGGAGCATCTTGTTCCTTGGGGCCAGGCTGTACAGTCTTGCCAAAGGTATTCGTACTTGTGTGTGCAATGGAGAGATGGTAGTCAGGGGAAGAGTCTGGAGCGATGTTGCCTTGGGTCACTCACTTGGTGATGAAAGATGAACCCAGGGTTGATTTTCTAGGCCAATTTGCTTTATCCAAATATGGGAAAATTGCATTATAGTTTTAGACTTCCTGGAAACGTAGTTGGAGGCACTCTGTTCAATGCAGTGACCAATCTGGCTTCAGACTCTGCGGCGAAGGCCCGCTGCCCATACCTGGACAGAGAGGCAGTGAACGAGCTGCAGATAAGATGGATGTGTTCATGTAGGGTCAATAGGCTGCTTCGTTTTGCTCAACTGCTCCTTTGTTACGAGGGCAGGCCCAGGGAAGCAAGAAATGCAGAAAAGGGTGGGCATCAATAAAATAAAAATACACAGAAGAAATAAAAAGATGTTCAGAAGGGGCAGTTTTGTTACCATCTTGTTAAATTTAACATACACTTAAAAAGCATACACAATAGAAGTTCACCATTGCATATGTGTGTACATATATATATATATATATATGTATATATATATATATATGTATATATATATATATATATAATTTTTGCATATATGTATACATACATATAATTTTTTTGGTATCTTGGAATTCTTGAATTCATTGGTGATTATTAAACTTATAATTTAAACAGCAAATTTAATAACTAAAAACCCAAAACCTCAGCCCCAGGAGTCTTAGATCATGGGCCACTTGAGTTAAAAATATGTTTTCCCTTTTACATATTCTTATGCCCCACAGTGTCTCATTTCTCCATTTCCTTCCCATTTGTGGTTTGAGCCAAAGAACTGAACATGGAATGATATAGATTTCTATAGAGTTCTGGGTTTAAAGCAGAGTGAGTTAGTGTTTACAGCACTGGACTCGGAGTCAGGAAGACCTGGGTTCAACTGCTGCCTCAGAAAGTTGCTAGCTGAGTGATGCTAACTAGATCTGTGGTCCTCTGGTTTTTCCTGACTCCATTTGGCAAAGAGAGTCACTGAGGACCATAGAGGACTCATGATCCACAAATGCATCAGAATAGCACAAGATCTGTGCAACTCCCAAATTATTCTGAGCTGTAAAGAAGACTTCCAGGGGCTGGATCCAAATTCAGCAAAATTTCCGGTGGTAAAGTACAGCTGATGCTCATTCTCTGGAAGACTAAGCCAGCACTGGGGATGCAAGCACAGCTGCTGTTAGCATCCTCCACTCATTCTGCAGGCTGCCCCAAGCCAAGTTTTGCTCCCTGCTCCCTCTCAGATCCCCTCATGCATGTTCCTTGGTTGCTTTTCCACAGCCTCTGTGCTGGGCTGACTTTTTACAGTTCCAGAATGAAGACTTCTCTTTCCTTCATCTCCCCACCTCTGTCGCTGGTACCTGCCAGGTCTCAAGGCTTTAGGGGAGGCCAGGAGGAGATGCTGTAGATGCTGTTTGCTTGGTGACTCAGGCAGCACTAAGGGAGGCTGGGATCAAAGCTCTGACGGCAGCATCACTTCCCACAGTGCCGAGCCATGGAAACCCACGGGAACATGGAGAAAGTTCAGGCTCCCTCTACCCAGATGGTGGAACTTGGCCACACTTGGAGCGTTTTCATTGTTGTTGTTCAAATCTCAAACCAAATGGGAAATAGAAGCTCTAGGGAAGCAGGCTGGGAGGTAGAGGCTTCCTCAACCTACCTCTGGAGCTCAGAAAATGGCCTTGATACTTTCAATTGCTGTAGGCCAGTAGTTTGCCTCCCATGGCCCAGGCCTTTCTGACTGTGGGACTGGGGGATTACCTGCCCCTGGTCTCTTGATTAACTCATAGGATTAAGAACATCCACTAATCATTACTCTCCCTGCTTGCTCATACCTGTTTATGTGAATCAGTTAACACATATTTATTAAGTGTCCACTCTGTGCCAAGGACTGTGCTAACAGCTAGAAATATAAACAAAGGCAAAAACACAGCCCCTGCTCACAAGGAGCTGACATTCTAATGGGGGAGATGCCACCCAAACTACTTTGTTTGTGCAAGGTACATCCAGGGTAAATAGAAAGGAATCCCAGAAGGAAGTTGTTGGGGGGTTGGGATAGGCAGGAAGGACCATTAGAATGTAAACTCCTTGAAAGATGTTGAATTCTTTGTTTTTGTGTTTCCAGTGGCTAGCATAGTGCATGGCATATAGCAGGTGGCACAGTAGATAGTGCACCAGCTCTCAATCAGGAAGACCTGAGTTCCAATCTGGCTTTAGACCACTTAGCTGTGTGATCCTGGACAAGTCACTTAGCCCTGTTTGCCTCAGTTTCCTCATCTGTCAAATGAGCTGGAGAAAGAAATGGCAAATAACTCCAGTATCTCTGCCAATAAAACCCCACATGGGGTCACAAAGAATCAGATGCAGCTAGCTGTTGATTAATTGATTAATGTCAGCCCTTCCCACTCCCCGGTTAACTATTTTAAGTTTATTTACCTGTTCTAATTTTCCATACCTTTTCATAGTCTCTGTAACCTTGGGCAAATCACTAAGCGTTCCTCAGCCTCAGTTTCCTTATCTGTAAAATGAGTTTGTTGGACTAGATGGCCTCTGGGGTCTCTTCTAGCTCTCACCAATGGCCCTAAGATCCTGTGCCTGGAATATTCTCCTTTTACACCTCTACCTCTTGGCAGCCTTCAGAGCTCACCTCTTCCAGGAAGCTTTTACTGATTCCCCTACTGTGAGGGTGACTTTTTCCTTCCTTTTTAGGATTATGAAATCATATATTTAGAGCTGGAGGGGAACTTAGAGACTTTTTAGTATATTTTACAGATGAGGAAATTGAGGCTTAGAGAAGCTGTTTCTTGGCCATGGTTAAACAACTGGTGTTTGAGACAGCTCTTCCTCCTATACTATAATGCCTTCATGCATATTTTATCCCTGTAGCAAATAGGTTCTTAGCCTGCATTTTGTGAACTCTAAAAAAAATTATTATAATTTGTTTCCTTTGTAATTCTATTCTATTTATTTACTTAAAATCCATTTTCTAGGAAGGGGTCTATGGGCTTCACTAGATTGTTTGCCCAAAGGGTCCAGGATACACAGAAAAGTTAAAAGACCCCTCATAGAATGTAAGCTCCTTGAGAGGAGGGGATGCCTCCCTTTTGTCTTTGATATCTGTGAATTTGTCTCCCTGAGCAGAATGTCAATTCCTCAAGACAAAATCCTATGTCATTTTCATCTCTATCTTCAGAGCTTAGCACAGTGCCTGGCACATAGTAGGTGCTTCATAAATTTTTGTTAACTGATAGCTACCTACCCCATCCCACATCAAAAATAATTTGCTATTTCATGCCTGCCTGCCATCCTTTCCAAGATTCATCTTTTAGAGTATGTGTTAGACTGCAGTAATAAGTATTTGGTTCAACTGAAAAAATAGGAAAAAACAAAAAACCCTATCTCTCGGTCCACATGAATTCTAAATGTCATTTTAAGCTCTAAAATCTATGATTTGGTAATAGAAATAAATGTCTTATTCTGAGAGATCCAGGTTACTTCATAGTCATAGGAGGTAGAGGCATTTCTCCTGGGTTGCCAACATTTACCCCTCTCAAAGTCAGCACATTCCCTTCAGTGAGTTGCCCCCTTTCCCCAGGGGTCTGTAGGCATCCCTTGTCTGTGGCTCCAGTGGGCACGTTCCACTAACAGTGCATCTAGCCTTCCCCTCTCTCCTGGGCTCTCACCACACTCTGGCTTCCTTTGCCCTGGCTGAGGAGTCAATTAACTGTGCCTTCCCTGGGGAATCAGCTTTCATTACATTCCTAAAAGAATGTGAGTTTTATTATATATCTAATGAATTTTAGATCTGGAAGTGACCTCAGAGATTTTCTACTGAAAGGATCACAGAATCTAAGAGAAGGGACCTCAACCAGAATCTTCCACAAGTGGTGTCTAGCCTCCATGCTAAGACTCCATAGAGGGTAATCTCACTACTTCATTTTACAGAAGATAAGATCAGGGATTAGGGAGAATGACTTTCCCGAGTTTGCAGAGCAAAATAATAGCAAGGCCAGGATTCAAACCAAGTTCTCCTGACTCCCAGTTTAGCCAACAGAGGCCATGGCAGGAAGGTGTTTGAATAATGAAGAGACCAACATGGTCTGGAGTATCTAGTCAAATCCTGGGTCAGGCCAAGGCAAAATGGGGCCTGTTTTGAGGAGTCTTGGCTTGATCAAAACTGAAAAGAGATGTAGAAATAATCTGATCTCATCTTCTAATTTTACCAAGGAAGAAACTGAGGCTCAGAGAGGTAGGGGTACAGTGGAAAGAGTTCTGTGTGATGCTGGGTATGGGCCTCAGTTTCTCCATATATAAAGTGAGTCTGTCACACCTGTTGGACTCTAAGAGACCTTTCACCTCTAAGTTCATGGTCTGCGCCATGGGCCACCTCTCTTTTTGGGAACATGCATCCTTTGTTACTCAAGCTCACCATTTCTTGTTTTCTCTCCTGCAGGACTCCAGCAATGATCGGGTGTTCCTTTGTGGTCAACAGGAAGTTCTTTGGGGAAATAGGCCTCCTGGACCCAGGGATGGATGTGTATGGAGGAGAGAACATAGAGCTTGGAATCAAGGTCTGTAAAGTGGTTTCTTTTCCTGGTGCTTTAATTTTCATTTCATTATCCTTTTCTCTAATTTCATCCCGGCACCATCACTGCTTTGATAAACTGGGAGGTTCATACAATGCCCTTACTTCCAATGTGCTCATTTATCTTTGTGCTGTCTTCATAATGTAATTGTTTTATGGATGGAGCTGAGGGTGAGTAACTGATTTGACAGAAGCATACCAGTGGCTAAGCTGGATCTGAGAGAGTTGTCAGGCAGGGCCACGGGAGTCAGTCAGAAGAGCTGAGTTCTGATCCCCGTTCTGCTTTAAGGCAGAATCACCTGTGTGATTTTGGTCAAGTCCTTTTATCTCTCAGCTTCAATTCTTCATCTATAAAATGAGGAGGTTGAATTAGACGGCCTTTGAGGCCTCCCATGTTCATACAGCCATGATCCAGGAATTCAGAACTCTCGATTTCTGACTCAAGATTTTTCTCTATTAAATTATATTAAAGAGCACCATGGACACCTGATGTTTTCATTATTTGGGGGATGACTGAATGTGTAAGTGATCACACATATAGTTCTCTCCATGACATTTGATGTGATCCCTAGTTGTATATTGAAATGGCCTGTCCTAAAGGCTAAAGGGTTAGGATAAGTCAGGAAGGTATGGGCTCAAGTCCCTAGCTGTATGACCATGGGAAACTTATACACTAAGTCCTAGACTCCCCAAGACCTATCTACAAAGCCATAGATAGCATCATAAATCTAGAACCAGAAGAAACCTGAGGGACATCTAGACCAAGATTATTAACCGTGTATTTGTCATGGACACTTTGTGCAGGCTAGTGAAGCCTATGGACCCTTTCTCAGAATAATGATTTTAAGTGTACAAAATAAATTACAGAGGATTACTAAGGAAACTAATTATATTGATATAAAGATGTATTTTTTTTCCATTCATGTTCATAGTCCCCTTGAAATCTGTCTGCAGAACTATTGGGGGTCCCTGGACCCTCGGGGAAGCTGTCTTGATCTAACCTACCCTCCTCATTTTACAGATGAAGATACTGAGGCCCAAAAAATGAGAAGTGGCTTAGATAATAAGTCAGAGCTGAGGTTTGAACTTGGGATCCCCAAGTTCATTGCTCTTTCCATTGTATAATGATACCTTTCTGGCTCTCAGACAAATCTGGATTGGCTTGATGAAAGGAGGTTCCATACTAAGACATCTCTGCAGTGTTAAAATCATAAACGTTTCATGTATCATTACATAGATCACAGAGCCTTAGAGTCATAAAATATTGGAGTTGGAAGGAATTTTAAAGATTATCTAATTCAGGAATTCTTAACCTAGGTTGGGTAAACTTTTTTTTAAAATTCAGATAATTATTTTAATGTCATTGGTTTTCTTTGTAATCTTCTCTATTTTATTTCATGTGATTAAAAACATTCTAAGGAGGGGTCTATAGGCTTCAGCAGACTGCCAGAGGAATTGATGACTGAAAAAGATTTAAGGTGTTATACCGAGAAATCAGCGAGTGAGACCCAGACATGATTTAAGATGTGGATTTATTAGTGTGCTGCTGCAAGGGGTATACACATCCAAATCAAGCAGCCCCCATCAGGGGTCGAGCTAGGGTTTGTATAGAAAAGAGCATGGGAAAGAAATGCGAGGAACTCTGATGAGGTAATCCAAAGATGCAGGTGTCTTTGGGGGCTATGGATGGGAAAGTACAGGGAGTATACTGGACAGGGAGGGGGATGGATCTTTGGAGTCTGGCAGGAGGGAGAGTCCTTGGGCTGGTCAAGGACACACCTCTCTCTCTGTCTTGATGAGAGAATGCCCTGCAACAAGGGAAAGCTTTCTCACAACACAAGAACTTACTGAGGAATTGGGAGGCTTCCAGAGACATGATCTGAGGGCTGGGGCCTGAGCAGCCCAGCTCTCTGTAGCTGTACCAGGGAGAGAATAAGGGTCATGCTGAGGCCCATGCATGAATAACTGCTAGGCACAGTGTCCTTGGGCTGGGGAATGGTTGTTAGAGACAGTGTTTCTGAGACTAGGGAGAAATTGGGGCACAAGTACAAGCACAAGCACCCGAACACCCCATTATTATGGATCAGAGATCACACAAACCAGACCAGGTGTCCTGGTCTCTGGTGTAAACATAATTATCTAAAGCAATTATATTGCAAGCTTTCTTATCCATTTGCGTTGGAGGTACTGGCTATGCTGAGCTATGCAAGAGTACATTTCACTATTGTTTAGATTTAGGAGGAAAGAGGTCTGGGGCAAGATTAAGCACCAACTTTTGCTTTCCATGGCTTAAAGGGCCCTACTACCTAAATGTCAAAATAACGTTCTGCATTACAAAGGACCCTTCTAATAGACCAACCTCCTCCTGTTATAGCTGAGACAGTATGAAATAACATTGCTGGTTAGTGGAGAAGGGAGTCTCCTGATGCCAAAGCCTATGCCTTTCTCACCCCACTAGGATCAATGGATGTGGATGGGAGAGGAGGCTCAGTTCAGGACTTTAGTTCAGGCTGCCTCCACATCATAGAACCTTGTTTAATCATGGATAAGATAACCTCATCAGAATCCCACACATACCCTGCCAGGAAGTATCTGCAGTTGAGGCTAGCCCTGGGCAAAACTGTGGTATAAGTAAAGTCATTTCTCTAGTGATTTCCCTTACATCTCTTTTGCTGTGAAATTCTTCATCAATAATATGATGCAGCTCACTCCCACCCACCAGAAGCCTTTCTAAAAGCCAGTGAGGCAGCTCTGCCTCACTGAAATCCAAAGTAGGATGTACTGCCAGATCTGAACCCAACTCCTTCTCTGCTCCCTAGCTGCTGAGGCACCCCAAGGGGTAGCAGTATGTGCCATGTACTGGGCACCATCCTATCCATTGTTTGCAGCACAGTTTCTTCGAGAATCCATGGGGGTGCCTGGTTGATCAGAGCTCCCACCACCTGTTGGCACAGATATCAGGTCCAAACCCTCTGACTGACCCTAAGGGCTCTTGGCAAGAGAGGCAACATCTGCAGACTGACTGCCTTTGGAAACTTGGCCTGGGGCTTCAAAGTTCCAGTGAGAGTAATTTGATATTGACCTCTTCCTTTCCTTCTCCATACATTCCCTCTTCTCCAGCTCGACTCAATTTCTTTATTCCTTTTTACTCTGTTTCTAAAATCAGTCGCAATAAACAGATGAACAAATGAATGTACAAAACCAATGAATGAATGAATGAGTCTCCTAAATCCTAAGAACACAAAACAACTCTTAGCTCCAACAGGCTAAGTTTTGTTGTCCAGCTGTTTTTTTTTTAAGGGGACAATTTATGGTTATGATGCTAAAGAAACAACTGATAAGCCACATCTTTTCCTCGACTGAATCTCGCTGGCAGCTGTCAAACCTCCAAAGATGCTTAGGACCTGCTTGGGGGCACTTCCTACTTTGGGATGTGTGGGAAGTGATGGGAGCTGTGAGAATGAGTTTTCATGGATATCAACAGTTTCTATTTGTGCCTGCCTGGCCATGCATTATTCATCATTCTAGGACAAATCTCTGGCTGTTAAAAATATTTCATGCTCTGTAGAGCAATGAACAACTGGAGATTTGATCCATAAAAGAGCCATTTGGTGGGGAGGGAGGGGTTCTAATGGATTGGATTACTTGTTGAATTGATTGTTTGCAAATTATGCCCCCAGGAGTCTATGGGAAGGAGATTAAGTCTGCTCAAGAGCAGGGTGATGGGGAAGTTAGCAGAACTGGGCTTTGGTACTATCCAGAGCCCTTTTTGTGTTTTTTATCCCATTTATGTGTCCAAAATCTCCAGATGCCCAGTGTTCTCCCCTCTCTCCTTAGGAGTCCTCACTGGGACTTTCTTGATCCCCGCTCCTTGTTTGTATTCTCTCTGTCTGCCTCAAAGTATGAAGTATATACTTTAAATGTTATATTCCCTCCTCCCCCAAAACATGTAAGCTTCTTGAGGACAGGGACCGTTTTGTGTTTTGTCTTTGTGTTTCCGATCCTAGACCATGCATGTTTACTTGCTTTTACAGACAGAGTATAAGTTTTGGACTTGGAATCGGGAAGAGCTAAATTCAAATCCTGCCTCTTACTAGTTTAGGCTTACTAGCTGTGTGACCCCGGGTGAGTCATTTCATTTCTCTTAGCCTCAGTTCCTTTACCCTTAAAATGAGGTTTAAAATGAGGTCCTACCTCCTAGTGTTGCTATAAGGATCAAGTAAGAAGACGTGTGTAAATCAGTGCTTTGTAAATCTTAAAGCAGTATGTTATCATTCTTGTTGTTCTACTATAGCCCATCCCCAAACCCCCAAGAAAATGTATTTTTTTTTGTCTCCAGTCCTACTACCATGGCCTATGTGGGAGCTCCTTGATAAATGTGTGTATTTGTGGGAAGAAGTAAACAAGGCTCTTAGGAGAAGGTTTTGTATGAACTGTCTTTGCCATGTTATCTGAGAGTAGTATTTGATGCCCTCTGGGGGCCCAAAAGTTAGGTCATGCTCTTAAAGTGTTAGATAAGTGCTAGATTTCTCCTCCTTCTCCTCCTCCTCCTCTTTTTGTTCTGTGCAGTTTTCATTTATAATTTCTTGAAATATAGCTCTAAAAAACAGGCTTTTAAAAAGTTCATTGTATTTTAAATGGAGAAATCAGTCTGGCTTGCATTGAATGGCCAGTAATAGGCCCAGTATGGCTCACTGTTTAGGTACTGATGGCTGCGAGTTAGTGTAAATAGTGATTGTTTTCTGTTCTGGCCAAAACCTCTGAAGGTCTCCCCTCACAGATATCTTTGGGATGGTAAATTGAGCCATTTTCTGTCTCAGTTCTTACCTAGATTTAGTCATTGAACAGACGTGGCCTCAGACAAACTGAGACTTGGGAAAGATCTTAAGTTAGAAAAGCCAAGGTCTCCCACTGCATCTTGGGCCGTCGCCTGTCATCTTGACCTTTGCCTTGCCATTGGAGCCCCAGCGATTCTGGGGGAGAGGG